AAGACGATACTGCAGCTTTCCTATGACATCATTCTCATCCCCCCAGAATCCCTTCATACATACATATTCTGTATGTGTGCCCCTAGGCCTCCCTATCTCCTCTCTTTTCCACCCCAGCACCTTTCCAAATCCTGACTCTTACTTCCTTTTCCTATCCCTACTATTCTTGGCAAACCCTTATCTTTGTGTCTGTACCATTTTGTCACTTTCCCACATTCAGATCTTTACTCTGGGAGTTTAGACTATTTGGTGTATTCACCCAAGTCTAATCTTATCCTCTAAGAGCAGCAGGTTCATTTAATCAGCAGCTCCAAAAATTACAAACACATCGTATTAGACTTATCTACTCTCAATTATACAGTGATAGCACACCACAGTACCATTTAAAGCAAGCTCCTGTCACTAACTCACTTGATTCCTAGCTTCTTTATGGCTAAATACGGTGTGGTAAATTACATACTTTGCTACCTTGTGAATCAAGAAAAAGCATGCTGTACACATTTGTTAACCACAATTCCCAATACACACGTATACTTAAAATCATGCAAGTGTTGTTAGGCCAATCAACGATACCTATTAGGGGTGTGCAAAATGGGCTATATTTGATTAGGATTTGCATTCAGCCTTAACTGGGGACAGTGATTCAATTAATTAATTTGGATCACTGTCCCGATTCGATTCAGCTGAATCTGAAGATTCAATGCTGATTTGAACAATGAGCGATTTGGCCATAGACACAGCTTTAAATGTTTTGTCTACATACCTCAAGGTACCAGGCGTAGCTCATGAACACTGCAATGGTGGGGCAGATGGAGTGTCGCACAGGAGCATGGGGGAGGGGGCCCTGGTGTGCTCCCTGGTGAACCCGGAAGTGGACCCGAACTGCTCCTGGTTCACTTCTGGGTCTGCTGCTGAGTGCACTGGGGAGCCCCCCACAATCCTGTGGGATGCTCCATTACCCCACCATCCCAGCATTCACAAGCTGCCTGGTACCTTGAGGTATGTAGAAAAAACATTTAAAGCTGTGTCTATGTCCAAATCATAGACTCTTTCCGAATATCTCCGAATTTATTTGGAGGGTTCTGATTCGATACGGAGAGATTAAAGGGTCTCCTGATTCAGTTCAGATTCAGAGATTTGGCCACCAAATCAGGCCGAATCTCCACCGAATCAAATCAGGGACCAAAGCTTCACACAGCCCTAATACTTATGGCTACAAAACAGATAAATTCATTATGGTATTGGGGCATGAAAAATTGTATCAAGTGTGGCTCTTAGAAGGTCATTCCTAATAAAAATGTACACTGACAAAATCCTTAATGCCAAAAACCACATTTTACAGAGGAAGCATAAAGGATCCGGAGGGTGGATGATGGAAAGAAATTGAAAGTGTAGAGCAGTGCTGGGTTAAGGAGAATCAGATTAACCCCTAATAATCATCAATTCCTTTTGCTGATAGACATATTTTAAGCACTTACATTTGTCTTATTTACTGTTTTGTCTCACTCTCTCATTCACAAGGTCTTGCAAATCATATATTTGTATGCTATCATCCTGTCTCTATCCTGAGCTTTCAGAGAAAATAGCTACCATTTCTTGTTACGGGCAATTTTAATAGACTTAAAATATGCAAGGTCAGATCATCTTAATTTTTATAAACTCCCCCAATTTCTGACTGGTCATACAAAGCCTTCTCATATAGTTTTCATGTTGAACATAAGGTGCTTGATTCAACCCAGTACATTTGCCTCTGTTGGCTCAGAGTCAGGGTGGTAGTTACAGTTTTTAGAGGAATATGTGACTTCTTTATCTTCCAGAGCGTTTGTGGCATTTTCCTGAGTACAATACCTGATGAAACCCTCATGACTTACAGTTTCTAGCTCCACTTGTTTAATTACAACAATTATTCGCCATGGTCTGGAACAGGATGGAAAATTGACAATGTGCAGTAAGTTAACTGGAGTATGACTAACCTCAACATTCAGATTCAACGTTGCAGAATATTAATTTATAAACGTATCATTAATTTATAATTTATCACATTTTGCATTACTTGTGTACAGACACTAATACACTTCAGGCACACAACATTTGCAATAGAGTTGCTGCTGTTATGAAAACTGAATGCAATAACATTTGGGCCCAATTCTGAGTTGCGTGTTAATTAGGAGGTAACTTCATTGACATAAATGAAGTTGTATAATTTCTGTAAACAAGACAAGAAATAAGCCAAGCATGTAAACATTCAAGAGTCATCTCATAACTAAAATAAAGTTGGAATTTCAGTTAAAGCCTCTTTGCCTGAAAAATATTTTGCTTTGTGATGATTTTTGGCGAATTAAGTCTCATACTAGGACTAAATTTGTTCCCATAACTCAAAAGAAGCTGTTTAACTCTCTAAAGAAGTGGTTCTTAGCTTTTTTCAAAAGCTCAAGGCACCCCTTGAAAAATGCTAGCTCTTAGTTTTCACTCATTTTTTTTGAATACCGAAAAATAATGCAGAAATATTTCTGTTGCAAATAACTCAGGTCAGAATATTTTATACGGTCTTGTTACACATTGCACTTTGAGCTGCTCAAATGTTGATCAGTGCTAGTGCTAGGTCAAGTCTGAAGCAGTCACACCTTAAGGCTAAAAACCTTCTCTGGCTGTTCCCCACATACACACCTGTGACTTGCCACTAAAGGGCTGGCAAGTAGGAGCCTAACTAGGAGCTACAGCCATGAGTTACCACTACAGGGCTGGTGAGTCTGGACAGGCTTCTATCCCTGCTCTAGGTGCAGGGGTGTGAGAGATGGGTTGGGGGAGAGAGGCAGGAACATGAAGCTGGGAGGTGGAGAGTTAATGGTATAGGGGTGGGTGATGAAATGGGAGGTGGAAAGGAAGGGGAATGGGGGAAGGGTGGTGAATCGAAGGAAGCCAACCACTGAAGAATATAGTAGAAAGTTTAAAAAGAATTTAAAAGGAAATAAAGAGGAAGTATATTGAAAAGGTCTCATGTTTTAATGAATTGGGATTTGAGATTGGGACATAGAGGGTGCTCGTCATGCTTCCTGGGGTAGCTGGGAGGTAGGAGTGGTGAAAGAAGGTACTTTTGGGAGAGCCACTACCCCACCCCAGGAAGGAAGCCCCAGCTCATTACAACCTGATATGGCCTCTTTCCTTATCCCATCCCCCGCCATCTCACCCAGATCCCACTCCTGGACACATGCATGCCCTGTGACCTGGCTAACTGACGTGCTCTGCAGGCTTTTTGCATGGGGTTGCATCCTTACAGGTGGGACAGTCACAGTCCCAGAGGCAGGAGAGGTAGTTGGCGTGGTCACCTCATGGTTAAGGACTGGCCATAGTCTATTTTATTTCTTCATTTCCTTTAAATTTTTACAAAAGAAGCTTTTCTTCAAGTTTTTATGTTAAATTAAAGACATATTTAAGCATGTTTTCATTTGGAACACAGAGGTCAAGTACAGACCTTACATTTTTACCAGTCTAAGTGATTGGAAACCAGTCTAAACCCATAACAAACAGAACAGTTTGTCACACAGACTAGTCTAAAAATGGCAGTACCTGTTCTAAAATAGACCTAGATCAATGTGCACTCAAACTTAATTGATTGTTAGACTAGCTCCCCCATTGATCCAAGTTAGGTCACTGTCTCCTGGCATCCCAGGCTCCTTTGTGGTCCCCTGCTGCCCCCCCACCCCCGAAAGGGAGGCATGCTCACCCATGCCTGGCAACTCAGTCAGACTTCATGGGGCTGCACCCACACAGGGGTTCTCCTGGGCTCCATGTCAGGTCTGCATGTACATCATGGGGTGCTTCATGACGAGGTGCAGGGGCACATCCCAGAGACATTGGTGCCTAGGTGCTGGGGTTCGTACATGGGAAAACAGATGACTGCCTTCCCCACTCCTGCTGCCTGCCTAAGGCTGACAGATGTCTGTGGCTGACAGATGATGCAGAAGAAGGTTTGGGGTGTGAGCACCTGTGCCATGTCCAGCAGCCAATCAGGGGTGGGCCTAGGTGTTTGGCTGTGACTGGCAGTCTGCAGCAGCCCAGGGAGCCCATGGGACATACTGAGAGGTGTACAGAAACACCCCGAACCTGCTGCCCTCAGCCAGTGCAGGCAGCCTGTGACCCCTCCCCTCTCCCCCCACCCCCAACCAAAGGGCGAATGTGTGTTCTGTTTACTATTACACCTTGGGGTTTTTTTAAGATCTGTACCAAGCCACAATCAGCCAGATTAGACTCCAAATCAAGTCTAGTTGGTTCGTATGTTTTCAAAACGTGTAGAGTGTGGGTTTTTACAGAATCTCTCTTTTGCTTAAAACTGTTCATTCTTCAAAACAAAGTGATGGCAAGTTATGAATAAAAGAAACCAAGGCTTTTTCTCTAGCCTCCTATCATCGTGTCTTTTAAAAAGAGAAAAGGCAAAATGTCACCCTCAAAACAGTTTTCATGTTATAAATGAACTCTCCTTGCTGTAATGCTTTATTAAATACATAGTAAGGACCTGATGCTGCACTAAAAAATAGTGAGTTATTGTGAAGAGCTTTTGTGCATGTATGAGACATGTAATGAAAACAAACTTAAGAAAAAAAACGGTTACAAATGTTTTGTCAGCCATTCAAATAAAAGTCTGAGCAGCAAAAGCTGATCTGCTAAAGACTCAAAAAAGGCTTTGCGAAAGAGCAATAGAAACTGGAGGATTTGGAAATTTCAATCTATTTTCCTAGTTTACACTAAACCTGACTAGTCTGCTCCTATTTAGTGGCTTAAAACAATCATTCATTTCCCAGCAAAGCTTATTCATTTGCAAGATAAAAGGAAGACAGATCTGCACATGCTCATAATATTCTTCACCACTGGGGGCAGCTTTACATAAGACTGCATTCACTGAAACCAAAGCAACAGTCGGAGGAGCTTTCAGAACGACAGTATGCAGAAGTGAACAGAGCTTGTTCATTGTACAGGGTTATTCTGCCTTCTGTGCTCCAAAGCAGCTTCGTAGCTGGATTGGGTGCTAACTATGAGAACTGCTGTGCTATGGAATACAGATTTGTGAATTTATATAGCTAAAGGTTGCTTGGAGGAATGCTTTCCTATAAAGAGAGATTTTAAAAGCCAGGTTTCTAACTGTAAAGATGCAAAAACGTAATATCCATGAAGATCCTATTACCTAGGAAGAATTTGACATTTTCCTGTGAATGCTGTATTGGGATTTATTTATTCTTGGAGTGTTCTGCATGGCTGGCAAAGAATAATGTTCCAAAATCGGTCCATCTCCCAAGGGGTCCAATTTTTCTTCCTGGGTGTCAGCAAGCCCTGACTCACTACAGTGCAGCTGACAGGGGCTGTCATGCTTGTGGCACCCTAACCAAAAACAAAAGACCTAAGGACGACCTTTGAACAACACAAAGAATGGGTATGTTTTTTTCATTTTTTTTTTTTTATATACAGTGCATAGTCTGCATAGAACCAGCTTCAATTACTGTATAGACCTACCTTGATGTGATGATTTATTATTATAGTTAAATTGTCTAGGGATTACATTTTTAAACTTATTTTACAATATATACAAAGGTTTTTTTTAATTGAGTAAAAGAAAATAATGTACAGATTAGTTGTCGAGCTAGGAATTTTTACATGATTATATAAATTAATATTTTAGCATGATTGGGAAAACAATGACTGATCTTTGGAGGGATAACTTTTCTAAGCTGTTTTTATTTCCAGGTTTCAATGTAATTAGGCTACTGAGCGGATCAGCTGTAGCTCTGGTAATAGCCCCTACTGTATTACTGACAATGCTTTCTTCTGCCGAACGAGGATGCCCTAAGGGCTGTAGGTGTGAAGGCAAAATGGTATATTGTGAATCTCAGAAATTGCAGGAGATTCCCTCGAGTATATCTGCTGGTTGTTTAGGTTTGTCCCTTCGATATAACAGCCTCCAAAAACTAAAATACAATCAGTTTAAAGGTCTTAATCAACTCACCTGGCTCTATCTAGACCATAACCACATCAGCAATATTGATGAAAATGCTTTCAATGGAATACGCAGACTAAAAGAGTTGATCTTGAGTTCCAACAGAATCTCCTATTTTCTTAATAATACCTTCAGACCTGTGACAAATCTCCGGAATTTGGATCTGTCATACAACCAGCTGCAGTCTCTGGGATCTGAACAGTTCAGGGGGTTAAGAAAGCTGCTGAGTTTACACTTGCGATCCAATTCTCTAAGAACCATCCCTGTTCGAATATTTCAAGATTGTAGGAACCTTGAACTGTTGGACCTGGGTTACAATCGGATCCGAAGTTTAGCAAGGAATGTCTTTGCAGGCATGATCAGACTGAAGGAGCTTCACTTGGAGCACAATCAATTTTCTAAGCTCAACCTGGCACTTTTTCCAAGGCTAGTCAGCCTTCAAAACCTTTATTTACAGTGGAATAAAATCAGTGTGATAGGACAAACGATGTCCTGGACCTGGAGCTCATTACAAAGGCTTGATTTATCTGGCAATGAAATAGAAGCTTTCAGTGGACCTAGTGTTTTTCAGTGTGTGCCCAATTTACAGCGCCTCAACCTGGATTCAAACAAGCTCACATTTATTGGTCAAGAAATTTTGGATTCTTGGATATCTCTTAGTGACATCAGCCTTGCTGGGAATATATGGGAATGCAGCAGAAACATTTGTTCCCTTGTAAACTGGCTAAAAAGTTTTAAAGGGCTGAGGGAAAATACAATTATCTGTGCCAGCCCCAAAGAGCTGCAAGGAGTGAATGTTATTGATGCAGTGAAAAACTACAGCATCTGTGGAAAAAGTACTACAGAGAGTTTTGAATTAGCAAGAGCTCTCCCAAAGCCAACATTTAAACCAAAACTCACCAGGCCTAAACATGAGAGCAAGCCCCCTATGCCTCCAACTATAGGAGCTACTGAATCCAGCTCAGAACCTGAGCATGACACTGAACACATCTCCTTTCATAAAATCATAGCAGGGAGTGTAGCCCTTTTCTTGTCTGTGCTTGTGATCCTGCTGGTAATCTATGTGTCATGGAAGCGTTACCCAGCCAGTATGAAGCAGCTGCAGCAGCGTTCTCTCATGAGAAGGCACAGGAAAAAGAAAAGACAGTCACTGAAGCAAATGACCCCAAGTACGCAGGAATTTTATGTAGATTACAAACCTACCAACACTGAAACCAGTGAGATGCTGCTGAATGGAACAGGACCCTGCACATATAACAAATCAGGCTCCAGGGAATGTGAGGTATGAACCATTGTGATAAAAGAGCTTTTAAAAGCTGGGAAATAGTGGTGCTTTATTGAACTCTAGTGACTATAAAGGGAACGTTTTTCTCACTTTTCTGGCACAGCACTTCCATGTCACTTTTTTGTACATTCATAATACTGGTCATTTTACTCTCATACATAATCAACTCACTGAAATTTAAATACTGCAATCAATGTGAAGCCAGTGCCTGAGCTCTGGTTTAATACAATACCTATTGTACAGACCCTCTATTGATTTAATTAAAGTCTCACTTGTTTTTAAACAGAAAACTTCTTTCATAACTAATCCACTACATCTGTAGTGAGTGTGTTTCTGTTTAGGCAGAAAAATGTCAACATTGCAAAAGAACCCCAAATCCATCTTCTGAAATTCACTTTCTGAATCAAGGACATATTAAATGGCTCAGGTACTGTAGCTTTGTACGAATTCTATGACTTGCTTGAGCTTAGGGATGGTGCAGAAACAGCCCTGAAATAATGCCTGATTTTTATTCACTGCGAGACATGATAGAAAGCGAGTAGTAAGTTAAAACAATGTTTCAGATGTGTGTGTGTTACACAGAAAGCTAAGAGGAGAGGAACCAAGGCTTAATTTTAAAAATAAGAAAGAAAAGGCCCAGAAAAAATGCAGAATGGGGATTACTATCTTGTTTTTAGAGCTGATAGTGACTAATTGAAACCTGTTCATGTCTCTTCATATAAAAAGGTGCAGTGTTTATCCCTTCTTACATCCAGTTGCCTTTCAGAAAGTAGTCAAAAGGCATTCATTAAACAAGGAGCAGAAATTCCTTACTGATGCAATTAGAGAAACTCAAATGTGCAGTAGCAAAGGCAAGACCACTTCCTGCACACATTTGAGTGCTCATTAAAAATGCTCTTTTCAAGACTGTCAGACATTAATGTAGTTGATGAAACAATTAAATATATCATTTTCTTCTATGTATTTTTATCTGCTGGGCTGTGCCTGTTAGTATTTCATGATGTGCTTTGCTTTGCACATCACCCACCTAATAACTAAATGAAGCTTCAAATACTTAAAAAGCCAATCATGGTACATTTTAGAAACACACAACTGGAAAGAGCTTTCAGGAAATACTGGTCATTCTCCATTCTAAATAAGAATGTATAAGAAAGAGCCTAGAATCAGTGACAAATGATTTCTTTCACTTATCATAACCCTGATGACATTACAAGAATTGATATTCATTTTTAATGTAAAGTAATTCATTGTTATGTTTTTGGACAAAATCCTGATGAACCTGGACATCAATTGCTCTATCTCCCTCAAAATCACTGACAAAATTTTATTGATTACTGAACAAAATACGATCTGCTGTGTTTTAAAATTAATTATAGTCATATTTTTATATGGTCTTTTAAGCATCACAGTTATTTTTCATCTGTGGAAAAACACAGCATTCCCTACTACAGGTTCAGCTGGTCAGTAATTTAACTAACTCTGTTTTGTGACTTGATTTGGATTAGCAGACTGCATGTCTTTGACCACCTGGGAGTGAGTGTTTTGACAAAGCAGCTTCACTGCAGCAGATTAGAAAAAGCAAAATCTTCAAGAGGGCATTCTGTTGAACCATTTGCTTATTGGGAAAAATAACCATAGCAAACTACCTTGAACTACACTGGACACAATGAAAATGAGGTTAGAGGGTATTATTTAAGCAACACACATGCACTTAATCATATTTTCGTAAAATGAAACTGTATTTTCTTTTTGAAGGACTGCAGACAGAACATAATCGAGTTTGGATGGTGCCTAGTATACAAAAGCATGTAGTACTGGTATTCTAGGTTTTGGAGTGCAAACAGTCTTAGATTCCAAGGTTAATAATAATATTAGTGGTTGGTGCACTTTGGATTGCACTAATAAACATGTGAAGTCAAGTTATAGTTTTGAAATCTATAGAAAAAGAATCAGTAAAAATGAACAATTCTAAGCTAGTTAATGGACTAACTTTTACCATTAAATCTTGTTTATATCTGTACTGAAGGATTAATTTTTGCCATTAATACAGCATTAGGCATCTTGACTATGCTCTTTGGCTTCTCCAGTACCTGCAGTGGTAACTAACTCTACATGCATCCAAACAGAAAAAAAAATTATATTACCAAAAAATAAAAGCATAAAGGTACATATACAGCTCTTCTTGATACTGGGGTGCAAGGTATATTTAGAATGTATATTTCATGTTATTAATATAGGATTATAAATTATTCTATATAAAAATATTCAATCCATGTTCCAAGCAACTTTGTGTCCTTGGTGAAGAATGTTGTCAAGTGGGTTATACATATATTTAGCTCCATGTTTTTATGTCTTATTCCTACCTCTTTAAAAATGCTAATGATTACCAACATAGAGGGGAAAACATGTAGAATCAGAAGTTACTGCGATTAACTTTAGGTGCGTCTATAAAAGAATTTGTAATAGAAACAAAACGGGCCAGATATGGAGCCTTTTGAAGCATCAAGCAGTGAAACCATTATCACTAGCTACTGTGCGGGCCCGCTCCCGATCCCGCCTGGGTCGCCATGTGCGAGTTCTCTCCCGATCCCATCTGGGTCGCCATGTGCGCGCTGGGGGCGAGCCAGGCCCGTCTTTGTGCACACAGGCTGTGGCTAGCAGCCCGAGCACGTGGGGTTGGAGAAAACCGCGGCGCGGTATGGTACGCTCGAGCTAGAATCAGTCACGGAGGCGTAATGGTTGATTGAAAAGATTATTTACTTACACCCAAGGTGGTCGCGGTGTAGGCTGGTCAGCTTTCCAGGCACGGCTCCCCTTGAGTTCTCGGTGGAGGACTCTAATAGACTCGGTTCCTTGACACTGGAGTGGTTTAGGCTCCGCGGGTTCAATAATTTGTTCTCACGGAACAGCTGTATCTCCATGGGTTACTCGGTTCCCAGGTCCCCCAGAGCTGTTAAGACTCCGTGGGTTCGACAATTGGGTCCTTAGGATAGGGATACGTCTGGACTGCGATCGGCGACGGGGAGAGGCTAGAGGTTATGTGCCTCGGAGTTGTTAAGGCTCCGAGGGTTCGATAAATAGGTCCCCCGGAGCTGTTGAAGCTCCGTGGGTTCGACAAATTAAACCTCTGTTGCCCTCTTAAGGAAAAAGCTGGGTTCGTAGGGATCAGCAGCACTTAGAAATCCTCACGCTCCTTTCCCGAACTCCACGTGCTTTTTCTCTCTCCGACTTGGGCGGAAACTACCCAAGCCTTTTGTACAGCTAGCAAGCCAATAGCTAGCCGCCACGTGTGCCTATATTAAGACTGGCCAATAATGTGGCAGAAATCTCAATACAAATGGCGGGAACTTCCTTGTACTGTGCATCACCATAATGCAAAAGGAATGCACTATGCAAAGAAAGCTACAGAACTGGCGGGAAAAACTCCTGCACGCAGGTTCTTAATTGCAACAGAACACTCCACCGTGCAAAAGAGCTGCAATTTGGCGGGAACATGATTTAGCGATGCCGAAGCACACACAAACAAGAAAAACCACAACTTTGGTTTGTGACAGCTACATCAGCAATGTTTAAGATAATAATGATAATTCAACATATTTATATTAAAATACAGACCAGACCAAAAGGACAATTAATGCAATTATTATATCAAAGATGCCTAACAGTCTATATATTTACCCATGTTTTCAGTGGCAAATATAAATGAATGTATAATTATCAATATAATTATCTGATAAAGAATCTGCTAGCCTGTAGAGTATAAATGTCCATTGTCAGTAATACTCCTCTGCACAGCTAAAAGAGCTGAGTTGAATAATGATTATTAGATCCAGTTCTGGTGGCAATGGATTATAAAATGGTTTCACCCAGCCTCAAGCCATGGAGGAGCATGTTAAAAACCCCAAGTTTTAACCTACATAAAAGCCACATAAAGGCCACATCGATTGAGCCAGTTGTAACTCAATTTTACCATAACACACTTGATTGCAATATTTGCTTTGTGCATTTACACAGTAGTCCCAAGAGTAAAAAAATCCAACAGTCTTGCAGGAAATTTTCTGCCTTTCAAAGTGAATTCCACTGAATAACATTAAGTTCCTGAGGGAGGGGAGATAGAGGCTTTCCTGTTCCTGTTCCTGAAATACATAAATATTAAAGGCTTCAGGATTATGGCCAGAACTGTTCCTTTTTTTGTCTCAAATTTTTATAATTCATATTCTGGCCCATATTTTCCTCATTTTACAGGCTCTTAGTGCCACTCTAGAACAAAACTACTTTAAATCCTGCTTCTGAATATTTATATTAAGTAGAGGAAACACCAGGTGAAATGCAGCTACAATGGACTTCTAGAAAAAAAAAATGCAGAACCGACTTTGAAAAGGGGGGGTGTGGTCTGGATGGTCTTCATGATCTGGAAAATCCTAGCTGCTCCAATTTTATGTGAGGGACCTAAACCATCCCAAGACATCTTAGAACTAAGGGAACAGCAGCTTGGTTTCAAACTGTTATTGCCCCCTCACATTTCTTTTTTTCAACTGCATTAATGACTGTATTATCACAACTTGGGACCTTGGACCCATTGCTCCAGATAAAATATGATATATCCTGTGCTTATCTTCTGATTTTTCCTTTCTTTGCTGCTTCACTGTGGACATGTCTACACATGCTCCTGACTGTGCAGTTGCTACTGTGCAGTCATTTAGTACTTGCTATAGCAGTTGGTACTGCACAGTCCCAGCAGCGCATGGGTCATTTTTGACCCACCAGCTCGTTGCTACTACGTAGTAGCAGCGGCGTAATAGTTAATGGTCACCGACTCCACGTCACCGTAGTGACGAGCTACGGTGATGTAGCTGATCACTATGGCAGCATAGACGTGCCCTGGAAATAGCTAGAAAGCCAGTGGAATTATTTCTAAAATTATTTCAAAAACCTTAAATGAGGTCAGGACCTCTTTATTAGACACTGTTAACCACACGGCAAGAGAAATTCCCTGC